TTTCACATCCTTTCCGTAATCTTTATTGTATTAGGAAGTGTCAAGAATTTAGATACTAATAGGAAAGTTGCTTTCACTTCACTTCCCTAATTGAAATTCCCTAATATTATGGTATTGTACCTATATTTCAATACAATTTTCTAAAAAGTAAGTAGAATACGTTTATTTGCAGCTATATTCTTTTAAGCTTCGGATTGTATTTTCATCCATCGACGTTGTCTTGTTACGAAGTCTGATATGTGATAAACATCGACATCCCACTTACTTCTCAGTGAAACGTCTTAAACACATAAACCTTTTTTCCCAATTAGCAACGTCTAGTAAAAAAATGTTATAATTGCTAATATTGTAGATCAAAGTCAGTTTCCGTGTTTGCAAGCCCCTTACATCAGGAAGTAATGTACGCATTTGAGATTCCTAAAACTAACAATTTTTGAAAAAAAAAATTAGTTATATTTTTAAAGTGATAATGCCATTTTTATATGTATACACATGACATTTACCAAAATATATGTACATTCATGTTTAAAGACTAGTGAATATCTTTACTAAAAGTACTAAAAAGTTCCTTTGAAATGATAACAAAAGAAAAAGAGCAGACAAGTTTTAATTCGCCTTTATTGATACGGTTTTACAAGTAGGTGACCAGACTTTGATTCCCGTTCGTAGTTTATTGTCAAGAACTCTCAAGTAATATGAATGAACAAGTATTTAAAAAAATGTAAGATTTTTAAAAGAATGAATTTTTGTATATAATATATTAACCTCAATATTTAAAAATGGATGTGTCTTTACTTTCTTGGACTAACTCCAAAACGTATTTTGTTATCAATGAATCGCCCACGCCGGTGTATTGAATTTTTACTGTGTAAGCGATGTAGTGACGATAATGTAGACGTCACACTTGTATAACAAGCTAGACAGTCCGGACTAGCGTAGGTATGCTTGTGGGGGAAAAATTCTCTCTGCACTGTACGGTTAATAATCATCGAGTCGTGGGTCCATCCCCACCAGGTCCATCTTTTTTCTAATCAATTTTTAATTTTTCGGAAACATGTTGGACTACGTCTGGAAATCTGGATATTAAATGGGAAGGAAAATCAAAATTCCGTCCTAATCACGAACCACCGTGCACAGATCAAAAAGCCGTGAAGTTTAATCACGTTTCGGTTGCAAACCTAGAACAGGTCGACAGCGTATCTTTTTAAAATGATGTAAGTTAGTGAGGGTATTTCCCTTACAATCAAGCAACCTCATACCTGACATATTGCACAATCTATAACCTAAAAATCAAGAAACATGCGTCCTCAGTCAGTCAGTCAGAAGGAACCTGAGACACTCTAAATCTGCCTTACATTCGTTTAATATTATATGTATACTGTTAACGACTTATTTACAATTAACATTTAATATTATTAACTAATATAATAAATTTACAATAAAAGGAGTTTCTATTGAGATTTTTTGCCACTTTTGTTCTTCTCGATAAAAAAAAAATTACACTTTACGTTTAAATCGTGTGATTAACTTAATTAGAACGTAATAATAGTATCAGTGTTCCTACCCATAGGGACAGATTTTCCGACGTTAAGTCTAACATATAAAAATAATAATAACCTTGCTAAAAGCGACCCCTATCTGTTCGTAATAAATTAGAAGTACTATAGTGATCTAACGTGGTCTAAAGTCTGTGCACAATATATATTATGTCTTAATTTAATATTAATGTAATCAAGGATTGATTTGTCTTTGATGGATATATGTCCGTCAATATACGTGAATGGCAAATGTCGATCAAAGATTCTGTATAAAATTAATTAATTTTAGTCAGTAACAATTTTAACATCTTTAATATTTAATAGAATGTTGTCGTTCTTCTTTGCTAATTCTCAAATAAAATTTGCTTATTTTATCTTATAAAAGACAGTCTATCTCATTATGCTCTATGGCGCTAATGAATAAAGCTTACAATTTCAAGCTCTATGTATTTTGCCTGGTCTTGTGCAGTAAGTGTAATTTTTAATTTATATGCACATTGTTTTCTGAAAATCGCATATAGCACAAAAGTCTATTCTAACTTTTTTGATTATTTAAAATTAAAAATATGTATACTTAATTCTATTCAAACATTTATTATTAGACTTTAATTAAATTGATTCACAATAATAGGTATTTGATATTTTTTATTTTATAAAACTAATCCTTTCTTTTTTAAACGTTTCATTTAGCTTGACGGATTTTATTTATTTGGGTCAAAATTGAACTTGAAATTTAAGCACCTTTCCGTTGTCAGATTGATTTGAAATTTGGTAAACAATTTATTTAGATTACAATACAATATAATAAACATTATATATCCAATATGGCCGCCGATACAAAATGGCGGATTACATATTTTTCCTTAACCCCCCTCAATATGGGTATCAAATGGAAGGTCTACACTAGTAAAAAACGATGACTATATCATAAATTTTATGCAAAAAGAATAAAGTTGTAGTACATAAAAATATACTTTTTTTTTCATTTCTTACAATCAAATATTTTTATAATAATTTAATTTCATACCTGTTAACATTATGCTGCTTTTAGCACAATTTAATAATATTATACAATGTTCGTGATACTATAATTAAAATCTTATGGTAGGTTATATAATATAATATACAATTATTACTTTTTTATTATGTAAGTACTATGACTAGTAGGTATGTAAAATCAATATATACTATAAATAATATTTACTTACACATAAATACATAGTTATTAACGATATATACGATTTTATCCAAAGCAATATTGCTTTGGATAAAATCGTTCAAAGATATAGCATATATCTATACTAGCTAAAAATTTGTTTGTTTGTTATGTTTGAACTCGCTTATATCAGGAATAAAAGTATGTAAACCTCTTTTAATAATGTAAAAAAAGGTCCGCGACAATAAATGTCTATTTTTTTAAATTAAATTACCAGAGCGACGAGTACCGTACGGCGTTGTGGGTAGAGCTGTAATTTTTAAAGCTTGTGGTTGGTAAAAAAGGAGGTTGTTTGCAAAAAAATATTATGATGCCCCAAATAACTATTACACGAGGACATAGTCGCAGACACAGCTAGTATGATTTACATACATTCCACGGGTCAAAATCTTCATATGTTATAAACAAGACAAAGATTTCTCAAAGATTAGCACGTAACAAAACCTCACGTAAGATATAATAAATGGTGTCGATTTATTATCTTGGTGTTTTATTATCTCCTAATTAATAATAATCACTAGACTGAGGTAACCGCTTAGTTTTGGTTTGACCAAAGAACAGCTGCTCCTTTTTGTACAGCACCGGTGAATAAAATTTTATAAACCGTTATGTGTTTAATTTTATAGTTTTGTGGTTCTTCGTGTTTTTAATATAGAAAGTAATGAGAAAATCCTTAAAAGACATATTATCTAGTTATCTACGAACTCATAACAGACCAAAGTGTTACAATAAAGCACAAAGAAGAATTAATAAATAAAACACTTTCTGCTCTAAAGCTCGAACAACAAAAATTTTGTTCGGAAGCAAAAGCCCTGTTGTTTGAGAATAATAAGGTCAACATGAGAGTTTTGTAATCAATATTAAATGGATAAAATTTAAACAAAATAGAGTTCAGATTACGCTAACTATCGTTGACTGATCCATTTACCTCGGGGAAACTTATAAGCTGTTTACGATGTTCACAAAAACAAATATTTTATCTTTAAAATTCAAAGTAAATTATTTGTTTGCTGCCCACATTTTGTTTGTCAGTACCAAATGACATCCTTAGATTGTATATATAATTTACAAATGCATTAAAAATGGATAATGGGATATATACATTAGTAAAATAACTTTTCATTATTTCCGCTTGACTTAGTACTTTATACCTAAGGGTAAATGAAGCAAATGCGCCTATGAAAAATTTGTAATTCAAAATATTATCGAAAATAAACAAATACTACTAGACTACCCAAAAATCCTAGATATGGTCGTAGAGCGACAATCAATTTTAAAAGTTTTCAACTGCGTAATACGTTTTAGCTTGAAAGGACCCGTGCTCAAATGAAAAAGTAAAGTTTAATCACGTTTTGGTTACAGTCTGTGGATGTCCGAAAATGTGGAATGTTGGCCCAAATGGCTGGAGTTTTTTCAAACAAGTGAACTCATATTTGTCTATCTTCCTCTATCCATTATAATTTTAATGTCTAGCTTTACAGATAAAATATTAAATCCAAGCATTATTATTAGAGATGGGCCGAGTACTCGGTTGATAATCGGTACTCGGCGTACCCGACGGGTTTTTTGACACCCGTACTCGGCCAATCTTACTCGGTTATACTTTGTTATTAACGAGTATATTTTGTTTAATAAAAGCAATATATTTAGGTAGATAGAATTTAAATAGTTCATATATTCTAGAAATCTCTTAATAATATCAAAACTATGCTAATGAATGAGTAGTAATTACGTGAAGATAAGAATGAGCAGACGTCTTGACTAAAGCGAACCTGTTTGTACTTGTTTACATGCGAGGAATGGGAATTTGATTGAACCAAGTTCCTCGGCCAAGGATTCGGATGAAAAAAGTCGAGCGAATTAAAACTCGGTACTCGTTATTGTATATTTGTATACTCGTATAATTACCCATATAACGGCTTCAACATTCTTCGGTTTCACACATTGAATACATAGCATCCTATTCAACAGGTTTAAGCTTATTTTTTTATCTTTATAAAAAATCTATTGAAGATTATTATTATTCCTTAATGAGAAATATACATATTATTTTAAATATAATCTATAATGAAAATCTCTGACAGTTGACACAGTAGGGCTTCGTTGACAATTGACATTTGAGTAATCAAACTTTGAATCAAACTCTTAAAAAGCAAAATCATTTTAGCGTCTTACTAAAAGTTATTAACGAATAATAGATTATTACAAATCATTTTATTCCGTTACATTGTTATAGATATACTAAAATGGTAAGCCTTCATCCTTCATTATGAAATGTAATTAATGAAAAGTGTAGTTTATAAAATTTTTTGGTCTAAGTATTTATGCATTGTCATCAGTGTTAGAATTTAAAAAAAGTTACAAACCCTTTTACAAAACTGTTCAAAATAACATAGACACCGGAGATTGTAACAACTATAAAAAAAATACTCAACATTTAGTAACTTTTATATTTATTTACCGGAAACATAACCTAAAAAGCTATAATTGTAAAATATAAATTATTTTCGATTTCTTTTACCAGTTCCGTAATCAATACGACAGTGATGTCACAGTATGGAGTCCCCAAGGACGACTCCACCAAGTGGAATATGCTATGGAAGCTGTGAAGCTTGGCTCTGCAACAGTTGGGCTGAAGAATAAGCAATTTGCTGTTTTAATAGCTTTGAAAAGAGCAGTCAGTGAACTATCGGCTTATCAAAAGAAAATCATCCCTATTGATGAACATATTGGCATTTCTATTTCAGGACTAACAGCTGATGCTAGAATGTTAAGGTAAGATAGATAAAATATTGTCTACTTTATAGTTTACGCGAGTAGTACACATTTAAATAAAACACTATAACGGTTTAAAACGCGATATATTAAAATCATTACCAAATAAGTTCTAACTAATATATCACGTTTTAAACCGTTAAAGTGTTTTATTTAATGTTTACTACTCGCGTTTATTAAATAAGATAGATAATTTATTAATATACTTTATGATAGAGTATGCATTCTTTGTTATCAAATATGATCTAATTTCAAAATCTTATGATGTTATGATTCTATTCTAGTAAGTATTTTACCCTACCATTCCGTATGATAAACTTGATTATATATTTATTTTTCTGCTTCAAGTAAAGTAAATTAATAGGGAAAAAATTATATCTACAATACTGTTACATACAGATATATTGATGCACAAACAAATTTTAAAATTTCCATGTTGGACAATGCAAGGAAATGCATTTTTAAGTTATGACACAGGGTTTATTTATATTAGCGATTCATTTCTTTTTCAGCCGTTACATGAGGACTGAGTGTCTCAACCATCGGTACGCCCATGATGCACCAATGCCAGTTGGTAGACTGATTGCTCTTGTAGGTAACAAGATGCAAATCTGTACCCAAAGATATGACAAGAGACCTTTGGGAGTTGGTCTACTTGTTGCTGGATATGATGTAAGTAAAATAATATAATTTTAGTCATTAAAAACAAATAAACGGAATTGAAATTGTTTAAATGGATAGGACTCTTTATTAGTGTTATAATTTATCAATACATCTTTCAGGGTTTTGATAAAAAAAATTGAGGTGATCCTTTTGCATACTTTTTGTTGGGATTTCACAAAATAAATAGGGTTCCCTATAGTAAACCATTTGTGTAATCAGTGTCAAACCATTTGAGAAATAATAGCTTAATTTTTTCTGTTTATAAAAACTCAGCTATGCTATAGCTGCTATTGAGCACTGTACATTAAAATTTGATTTATATCATCATCAAAATCATCATGGTAATAAATTACATTAAAATTTTGTTTTGTGAAATCACCAGGAGCAATATCTTAAAATAGGCATTCATATGCATTATTTTTTTTTAAGTTACATAAAATTACTTTTATTTCCCAGGATCAAGGCCCACATATTTACCAAACATGCCCATCCGCGAATTTCTTTGATTGTCGAGCAATGGCTATTGGAGCTCGATCACAATCTGCCCGAACTTACTTGGAGAAACATCTCAATACTTTTACTGACTGCGACCTTCAGGACTTGGTTGCCCATGGACTAAGAGCTTTGAGAGATACATTACCTAATGAAGTTGATTTAAATACAAAGGTATTGTTTAAACTTTAATATAAAGTGTAAAACTTTTGCTGATACATAGCCAATTTATCTTAGAAGACTGCTTAAATATGGTAGCTATTCTTTTTTATTATTATATCTATAGCAATATTGCAGACATCAGTAATTTTAAGGCGAATTTCACGTTTTTTCAGAATGTGTCAATCGCCATAGTAGGGCCGAAGACAGCTCTTCGTGTCAGTGATGAAGAAGAACTCGGTAGATTTTTGGCGCTTGTCGAAGGTGAAGAGAGACGTGGTGGAACTGCTACTGGTGACGCAGCAGCTCCGGGGGACCAGCCCCAGCCACAGGTAACATTATGGGAATCTTAACTTTTTTTTAATCTTAAGAAACCTATCACCTATGTTATCGTGATTTACGACTTTATTATTAAAGTAAATTGAGAACGTCTGAGACTTACGTAAACACAGAGAACCAGCTTAACTTTGAAAACATAGAAACATTCATTCAAAAAAAATAAAATTGTTTTGCATAATATGTCAAAAAAATTGAGTATAATAAGCAAATGTTCAGAGTAGAGCAGGTAATTCTTCAGAGTAATCTACATTGATTAAAACATTGTTCATTGAACAAACACATGTTTGTGTTGAATTTGGTTAGGAAGATATATATAATATTATTTTTTTATTTCTTATGAAATATTACATACCACACAATCTACAATTCATATACATACAGGTGCAATACAGTTATTGTTAGGCAGTCAGTACTACAGATAATATAAACTTTTATTTTATGTAGGTGTTGTCGAATGCCATAGAACAACCGATGGCGTGTTTTCCATTAAGCCATCTGTCTCATCATCGACATCTGCTAATGTTGTCTTCATATCTGAATCCCGTTTTATGACATTTAGTGGAAGATCATCGACGTCCGACACATAGGCCCATTTTTCATATATATAAAATGCAGTATTCCACGTATTTTCCCGCGGCAGCGTACTTATCTCGGTTCTTAGAAACGGTTCCTCTACAGAATATCTCACGACACGTTGGGCGCTTCTCTCGTCGAATGATTCGTTTCTCAACTTTGAATCGAGTGCAATTTGCAGGAACGTCGCCCAGCGAGGCTTATAATAGTAATGGAACATTTCAGCCCACTGTTTGCAAGCGTAATCCGTTATTTCCCCATTCGGTCCCCACAATGTTATTTGATTTCTAGCGTTCAAATCGTACGAATACGGTGACTCCGTGTTGTATGCAAAATTTTTGGCATTGTTTATCCAATCGTACATGGTAAAATCGCTGTTTGTGGCTAAAATTTTCTCCATATCGGACATGATGTCTAGAAATCTGTTTATTGTCGAGTTGAATGTCCAGGTATTGGTGAAACGGTCGTTTAACACGTTCAAGTAGAGCTGGTCCGCTCTATATTGCAATACTTGGCGCGCGACGTCTACTAGGTCGTGTTCGAAGCCACCCTGGCAATTTCTGTTTATGGGCGTGATAAAATTCTTGAAAGCATTCAACAAATCGTTGCTCTTGTACCACGCCCACGGCCGTATTTTAAAACTGGGACGGCGAGTAACCACGTACTTGCCTCTTATTTTGTTTAGTCCATTAAAGTTATAGACGCTCTTAAACAAATACCTCCAAGCCGTGGCTGTAGAGTTGCAAACGTATCTTCTCTCCGCGTAATCAGCGACCCATTGGTTTAAATCTGCCACTGGTGCTTCACGCCAAGCCGACTCTAACATTAAATCGTAAACAACGTAATTTTGGTTTATTCCCTCAGGTGTTAATCCCATGCCGATCATCGTTGTGTTGATTCTCTTTCTAGCCTCGTATACTTCTTTGTTTATTATATCAACGCTACCGAACATGCCGAGAGTTCCTCCAAAGTTGTGTAGCATGCACCAGATGAACGGTTGGCCGTAGTACATCTTGTAGAGATCGTATTGCGGCCATTGTTCAGACTGCAGATCCAGCACCAGCATTCTGCCGTTAGGCACGGAAGTTAGGAATGTTTCTACCCTTTTAAGGGGCCATAATAAAGGATTGTGCACGAACATCCAATTCTGCACAAGCCACACGGCGTTTTCATCGAACTCCCTCAACGTATTGAAAATAGACATCCCAGTCTGCTCAACCAGCATAGTCGACCATGGCTCGATTTTTATCTCGTTGAAGGGATCAGCCGTATAAATGTTACCTGTGCCTAAACCTTGCGTTACCTTCTTTAAAAACATGTTGCCTATAGTCTTGAACAATGGATCAACGGGGCTGAGGAAAGAGTTGCAGCAAAAATCGTCGCTGAAATTGTTCCACGTACCCACTGGATATAGGGTAGCATTGGGGTATATACGGCTAAAAGCTCGCGGCACATGGCCATTGAACGCCGGGAAAACTGGTATCATGCCGAGACTGAACATCTGGTTAACGACCTGCTCCTGATTGTCCTTTTGAACGTTATGCCACGATTCAAGAAGAGGTCCGCCCCATCCGTGCACGTTCCCCATTCGGAGCCAAGAAAGGAATGAAGGCCCCGTGAAGTGTTGGTTGATTTCGTCTTCCGTCATGCCCATTTCCTTGTAAATGCTGGCCCAAGCTGCCTCTTGGGCGATTGGTGCTAGTGCTAAATTGATTCCGTTCATGGCCATCCACTCTACGTGGTCGGACCAGTCTGCCGGCTTCCACCATGTGAAGCTGTATGATGCTGTACAGACATTCTGATAGTACCTATAATTGAATTTAGAATCATTATTAATTATTATTTAATAGGTCTACATTCCAATCTTTTGCGGCTTATGTTGGTCACCACAAATTTATTTTAAAGCCTTAATACACAATTATATTAACACACTTATTTGAATTGTGTTCTCTTAGACACCTCTCTGTTGTTTAGCAGAATTTAAAAAAATGATATTTTATTTACCTGAAGCGGTCATTCGCAACGACCGTTTCGTCCACTTCCGGCAAGCTGTCCGGTATGTTTAATTGCCTCACTTGCCACCCCACCTGGCTCTTGCAATACTTCTTCAAGTAGTAATTGAAGCCCCATACGGCTGCGACGCCCGTGCTGGCCCGAATCTGCAGTTGCCCGTTAACAGTTCGCAAGACGAACACATCCTTATTGTTCACAAATAGGACTGGACTTATGAAAACTGATACATTGCTGAGGTATTTCCTAATAATGGCTTCAGCGGCCGCCTTTTGGGTGTCAGGCGATGTCTTCGTTTGTAACTTCACCGGATCTAGATAATTTAGATCGAGAGCCAAAGTACTCGACAATAAGCAGAGGAGGTAAATATACATGACGATAGCATTGGTCGAATGCTGAATGCTGTGTGAACGTTCTTAAGTGAATAAGTGACCATTGACCATTGACCAGATGATAAGCTTATCTAAGGTTACACATTCTGTATGGAGATTATTTCTTAAATATAACGTACCTATTCTTTATTATATGACGTTACTTTTAAGTGACGTCATCTAGGATATATATTATGTATATAAAATTATTTTATTTCATCAAATATATATAGACCATAAGTAACGACAAAAAAAATTGCAAATAAAATTTTTAGTGCTTTAAATTACGCAAACAAAGGAAACATTGCATTAGTATTGATATTCTTGGATAAAAGGGAATAAAAAAAGATACTTTGACCCCGACGTGATTTGAACACGCAACCTTCTGATCTGGAGTCAGACGCGCTACCGTTGCGCCACGGAGTCGTTGCCATAATTTGCGAATTAGCTATTCACTTACTTATATTTTGATTTTAATTAAACTCTTTGCCTTACTATATTATGGGGCATACTATATGTACATTTATCGTATGTTTTAACATTATCCTATTCTTCCATTCTGTTATAAAAAATAACTTCTTAAGCTAATTTAATTCAAATACGTAAATTTAACTCCGAAAAAATATGGTTAAACTAGTAACTAATTTAACCTCTCTTCTTTACAGCAGGCGATGGACACAGAGTAGGTTCAAGGTTGCAAAATTCCATAGAAGGGGGTGACCATCAAGAGGATCTGAAGGTCTACCGCACCCCCTCTCTGAACTGCATTGCTCTGGTTGTGGAAGTAACCCCCCTCTTTTGCATATATAAAGGTTCGCCTCGGCCAGTGTTTGGGTTTCCCATTGCTGCTTAGTATTTCATTGGAGTTTTATTATCGAAATATTGTGACATAAATTACAAAATAACTTTAATTAGTGTCTTATAGACGAATATGTTATCAAAGGTAATAATTATAAATATAGACGTTATAATCAATAATTCATGACTATATTCTAGTTTTTAATAGGGAACCTCGATATAATATCGCAAAATTATACATATGTTTAATTATTGAATATTAATTGTGAAATTTCTGTGTCGAAATAATTTACTATAAAAGAAAGCGCTTAGCACTTTGCCAAGATATTGAGCTAAGGTTAAATAACTCTTTATTTTAATGCCATCTAGTATTTTTTTTCTGGGAACTAACATATCGTCTGGTCTAAACACTGGCCGGGGTACACAATAATTTGTGAAGTAAATAATACTTCTGCTATGTATTTCTTTATTAAATAAAACACGTTCATATTTATATATCGTTGTATAATTTCTGTTATTTACATAACTTTAACACTATTTACAGATTTGTTATTATACAAATCTACACAAACAAACTAGTTTGTTTATTGTCAAGTAATTCAAGAACAGAAAATTTCATGGACGGAATCAACTCATTGCTTAGGGTCTGATATAAATTTAGAAATTAATCAACATTTTCTCTTATCATTTTATATGACAGTATTAATAAAACAATGATTGTATTTTATATAAAACTGCTGTTTTGATTAAGAAATCGAGGGAAGGCTGACTTGGTGTAATTAAATTAAACACGAACTTTCTCCTTTAAGTCTTCAGTATTATTTTTCTAATATTGGATCTATAAAATAATGGAAGTACTTATTGTCATTACCAATTTGACTAGGTCTAACTAATTAATCGAATGTTGGTGGTTTTGTTGTACATTTTTGGTATGGGACATCTATACATAAATACAAATCCTTAACTATTACTGTTATATACTTAGCACCATTTGATAAAACTTAACACTATTATAGCTCGGAAATTTTGGACTTCAATCACGCGGAATCTAACTTATGGTAATTTCAAATATCTTTGGATAACGGGGACAAAATAATCTCTATTTTGCGCCGGAGTTTTTGTCATACGAGTGTATCCAACACATATCCGTTGCCCGTGTAGGTGAAGACGGCTTGGTTCTGATCTAGCACTGGTATGTAGCTGTCCTGTAAGGCTATCGGCTGTCTACTCGACGCCTCGTTCAGCTGCCTCTCCAATATCGTGTTCTGGAGTTCTTCCTCTTCCAATTGTAATGTCAGTTCGTCGAGCAATTTTGATCGATACTCCAACTCTCGATCCGTTCTTTCCAATTCCGCTGTATTCTCTTGCATTTCTAGTGCTGTCTTCGCTAGATCTTCCTCTATCTTGTCTATCAACATCGTCACTTGCGAGACGTTCTCGCAGCTATTTGCTTTGTCCTCGTCCGTGTATCGTTTGACTTTAGCAGTCAGCCGCACGACTAGTTCTTCCTCGCGATGCAGTCTTTTATTTATGATTGCCAGTTTCTCCAGCAGTTCGATTTCCTCTCTTATCTTTGTTAATTCGTCGGCTGAAGCCTCTGAATCTGTATCGTTGTGCGTCTGAGTCAGTCTTTCGGAGTTCACTTGGCAGATGTCTGTGAGTTCTTTCGTGAAATAGTGTTCTCTCATGAGGTGTCTCTCTCTTCTCGATTTGTGTTTCGTGTGTCTTCTCGGTGGTGTGCCGCTTCCCACGCCTACACCACTGTCGCTATTTGCCGCTTGACTGTCGTTGACTTCGCTGCATCTTCCTAAATCGCGTAAATACGACTCTAGGAGGTAGTTGGTGCCGTGCTTCTCCATTCTGCTTTTGTGTGTCTGGTCTTCTAGTTGGTCTATGAGTTTCTCTTGATCTCTGCAATTAATAGTGAAACGATTCATTTCTATATTTTGTCTAATAATAACTAATTAGTAGGTACTTAGGTGTAATTATTTAATAGTTAATGAATTGTATATTGCAATATTACACTGCAGTTATTACGAATGAGCTCTATTAATGACAAATTTTATCGGCTGTAGTTACATTTTTTCCTTGTAAATATACATTCACGAACCATATTCTAGAGTTCATCCATTTTTGCTACTTTTGGTTATTTGAATTAAGGCTACATTACTGTAATGTTAAGCTTTAATAAAATGGGTTCAGTGGTTCCAGTTAAAAAGAAGAAAGTGGTTTCAACAAATATGAATCGTTGTAAAACTTGCTTTATAGTATAGAGATATTCACCTTAATTTATCAAGCTGTTGATGTATCGTTCTGCTTTGATGCTGTATAACTGAAACGAGTCTGGCTGCTGGTTCCTCGCTCTTTGCTCTAGAAGGGGGAGTGGCAGTTCGATGTCCTTTTCGTCTTCTTCTGGTTCTGCTGCGACTTCCAGCGTCGCTGTCTCGACCTGAGTCATCCTCTCCACCGCTGGATAGTCTCCGTAGGGAAAGACGTACCTGTGGTTCAAAAATCTATTTAGTCGCTTATTATACTATATGTTAGTGAAAACAATAATTTCTTGGAACCGTAGAGGTAATATAGTAAATACACCAAAATTTCTCTATCGTTACTTATAATAACGTAATATTTCAAGTGACTAAATTAGCGAGTTTTGTACGAAAACTGACTATTTAAATGAATTATTTTGAATGAATTAATTTTTTTTAAAAGGAAAGGAAATTTTTTTTTTTTTTAAGCTATTATATGAAATTATATAAAGTAATAAGACTAAAATGGTATATAAATCAAAATGCCAATCGAAACTGTTTTTACTACTTTAAATTGAAAAGAACGCCTTTTTATTTTTCATAATCTTGGCATTGTAATAGGCTCTTGTGGGTTTCTGGGGAATGAAGAAGGAAAGAAATAAATAAAAGCCTTGTGCTATTGGTTCACCTCGTGCCTCGCATCGCCCCAAGCAGCCAGAACGTGTAAGACGGGTACATCTGGCGGTAAAGGTCGTTCCACACCGCGCCATCGTTCAGCAAGCACCCATTCACCTGGTTCGCTTAAACAGCTAGCTGCAAGGAGGAAAATTGTTATAAAATTAAAGACTTTTTTTATGATAGAGGAGGACGGACAAGCACTTGATGTGATGACGACATATTTTAGCTTTGGTTATTTGGAAATCTACAGACTGAAATCGAAACGCAATTAAACTTGGAGGACCCGGTAGGGTTCGAACCCCTTTGATTATTATACATACATTGAAACCATTAGACCAACCCGTCAAAAATCGATGTCACAGGCAGGATTCAAACAAGTCAAATATTTCTTATATAATATGTAGAGTGGTAGTAGGTACATCTAAACGGACAAAATCTATAACCTTTCTTTTGTCTTATTGGCTTAAGAATAAAGCAAAGATTTCGGATTAAAAAGAAAGATTACCTTCCGGAGCATCTTGCAAAGCTCGTACGATGTCAGCGCAGGTGGTATGAGAGCGGACACCTCTGACCCAGAGCTTCTGACCTCTCGCTATTACGCCAACTTCTTCATCGCTGTAGTCTGATGATGAAGGCTCCATATTGACCAGCTGGAATATGGTATTGATTTCTTAATATTGTCATTGCATTCTTATACATATTTTCTATAGTAGTAATAGCGCTATGTCGTATTGATACAATATTATTATTACGATAGCCAAAAATCTTTTAAAAAAGTCACTAGTTTCGGAAGTTAGCGAAATCGACATAAAAATAGTAGGATAGATTCACTTCCACCAAATTCACGAAAATCCCATAAAATTGAAGCTCAAATATTTTTTCTCCTTTAGGACACATTACATTGCAAAATAAAATTACATTAAAATTCTTACATTGTTTGATCTTTAACTATGTCTAATACCTAAGTCACAGACTAAAATGAAAACTGTTGCCTAGCAACTAAACCGAAGCAAACCTAATCTAAAGAGGGTAGTTGCATAAGTTTGCACAATTTAGGGGCGGTTGGCGCCAGGCACGCGAACTTACGTTATCATAAAATCACCCCGTTGCATAGCTAGCAATGCAATTTCGTACCTATTTTGCATAAAGGCCTAGCTGTTTTAAATTCGTGGAATTGAGAAATCGTGTGTTTTATGGGATGTATATATAATTTGCCTTTTTTTCCTACTTTAACCATTGGTTGTACAAATACGGTACGCTGTATAGTGTAGAGAAAAATCCAGGTTTTGCTGACGTACAGTAAAATCTTCACAGTATAAAGCTTACAATTTCATTCAGGCAGATATTCTGCACTCATATTACGTTTTCAAAAATAATCTGATGTAAATAAAACACTTTCAACGGTTTAAAAAGCGAAATATTTTAGTTAAATTATTTACAATTTGTTTATAGCCACGGCCATTGGGAGAAGGCTACTGGAAAGCATCCGTAACGTCAGGCCGTTGTTAAAATAAATCGTTAAAGCTGTAGAGTTTATTTGTTTGTTTGAAAGCGCTAATCTCAGGAACGGGTTCGAATTAAAAAAATATCAATATGATCAAATTAATAGGAGCGAAGAAACAGAGGGACATGTGAAGAAGCGGGTTATATCTCGCATTTTAAGCCGTTGAAAGAGTTTTATTTAAATCTTACTCGCGTAAACCATAGATAGTAAAGAAAAGAAGTCGTGAAGAAGATTAAAAAAAAATGATACAATTATTAATACGCTATAGGAATGAATGACCAAGCAAATAAGCGTTTAATCTTTATAATATAAGATTTTCTCTACTGAGTTTTCGTTTTAACCAACAAACTGCTAGTAATAAATCCGGCGCCAAAGTTCCCTCTGGTAATTCCGCTGTTGCCGTGACTGAAGTCCATTAGATGCTTCCGGCAGCCCACCCCTCCTGAACACCCCCTGGCATTTGCCGCGCCTTACTCAACTTTATTTTAGTCACGTATGTATCGATTTCATAAAAGCCCTTCCAGTCGCCACAGTTGTTACAGTTTAAAGTCAAGATTATTTATACAACCACAAATACATACATACAAATTAATTACTTTATGTTTTCTTGATCAAAATTATAAAATATATTAAATATATATATATTTTTTTAATTTAGGATCAAATGAACTGCCAATTTTCTATCCTCAATTGTCATTAAAAAAAGCCTAATAAGCTTTGCTTTGCTTTTCTAATAACCTGTATATGTATAGTACACTTGTATATTTTTGTCCGTTTCAAATATGTTTATGTAGAATAAAGAAGTTGATCCGAATTCTGTGATCTATTTTATATAATTGTTTACGTTTTAAGTTTTCCTACTTATCGAACTCTGCCCCACTGAATGCCATCACGAGCCTCGTCAAAGGTTTTATGGACTTACATGGAAAAAAAAGGCTGCATCATCTATACTAATATTATAACGAGGAAAGATTTGTATTTTTGTATGTAACGGATAAACTCAAAAAGTACTGGACCGATTTTAATAATTCTTTTTTCACTAGAAAGCTACATTATCACTGAGTAACATAGGCTATATTTAGTACTTGATTACTATATGCAGCTAGTTGTCTAATATAGTAATATGTAATGCATCTGTTTGGTTTGGACACGGGCAGGACTCGAACCGGCATCCACGCCGTGCTCTTGCTCTAACCAATGGACACGGTAACTCAATATCAAAGCTAAAATTAAAATCGATTTTTAATTTATATAGTGCCATCATGTTCAATAAGATGTGAAAAATGTTAAAGTTTTCAAACCTGTCGTAGTATATTATTTGTATTGACCAATAGATACCAGATGTTAAACGAAACTCAACAGTTAAATGAAACATAAACGCAATATAAATGTAACAAAATGGCCAGTGGCGAGGTATTATGAGGTACACGCGATAGCTTGATTGCTGACACAGTAGCTCTAGTGTTGTGCTCAATACGAAGCTTTACGATAAATATATTACTTTTTAGGTATGATAATTACGCAACAAGAAATAAATGCATATGTAAGAATTATTTATTAATTAAATAGGTGTGTAGAAATTCTAAACTATTGGAAACTTGAAGCAAATCGATCGTATTTCATCTTCATAATTGAAATACTAGCACGATTGTTTTTGATCAATTATTAAGTTTTTATATTTATTTTTTATCCTTTTTAGCCATTTTATATATTGTTTTATTTTTTGTGCTACATAAACTTGGGCAAATAAAAATATTATTTTAATTAATTAATTGTTTCTATAGAGAATATACTATTCTTATCCAATTTTTTTAAGCATAGCTTACTTGTATCGGCGAATTGATTGCAAAATATGGAAGTATAAATTTTCTAATCCATCGATATCGATAGTTTCAGCATCACTAAGCGTAATAGGCAAATTATCGGTAGCCCATGCTTAGCAAGGTACTACCTAATTACAGACGTGAACGCCGGCGCGCTGAGAGCACGCAAGGACGTGCAAAATTAGTTGATACACACAGATCTCGAGGATGTCAAACAAAATGTTAAAAGTGAAAACATAAACTGCATGAAGTATACACAATAATATAATTGAAAGTAATAACTACGGCAGTGAATTTAATGATTAGAAACGAATATTTAGATATTAACTCAAGTGATTTGTGCTGCTTTTGTTCATGAACTCCTAATTCTAAACTGAGTCTTATAACTTTTGTTAAAATTGTAAGCATGTTATATTTACGTTTAATTGTTTATTACGTTTAATCTTATTGCTGTGTACATAATGTAACAAATGTTGGTAAACTTAACAATTAACGAGTCAATGCATCGCTTATAACAAGCGAAAAATCATTTTATGTTATACATAGCGATTATATGGCTGATTAATTTTAAGTTCTTACCTAAAGCAAACTAATAAGCGATGTGATATTTAAACAGTCCCATAAATAATTTAAAGAGTGAAACAATTACACCGAACCATCCAAATTTTTCTAATCCAAAATTTGTACTTATCATGCCTTTGACAATAGAAAGACAGAGGTGATAATTAAACGGGTAAAAGTCCGACATTTACCTTCCGATCCGAATTAAGTAGTCTTTATAGAAATGATATTATTACATCACGGGCTACGGGATCCGTATGTGTCGGGATTAGTTAGCTTTTAGCTCGCGTAAGTTTAAGCTAAACAAAACATGTAAACAAAGGTATATGAAATGAGTTTTAATCTTCTCTTATCTTTGCCCGCTGTATAACGATTATGTTGAGAATAAATAAATGGTGTTTTAGTTATTAAATTGATATTATCATATATTGTTCTCTAAAGGTGACGTCATCAGAGTCGACTTTTAACCCATACACAAAAAACGCCTTCAATATTTCAAACACGCTTCCTACGATAGAGTCAAATCAAAGACTCGTCTAAAAAGCTTCAACTCTACCGACAAACCTTAAAAGGTAATAAAAGAAGAAATTAAGAAATAAATGACCTTTATAATCAGAATTTCTCATTTCTTAAATATTTAAAAAAATCAATACTACAATATTATAAAGATGAAGTTTGTTTTAACGCGCTAATCTCAGGAACTATTGATTCTTTGGATTATAAAACATGATGGTGTGACCAAAAGAAGCAAAGAAATAGAGGGAAATATGGATAAAACATGGGAAATTCATCTTTGATTTTGGTGCGCTGCGAAAAGGGGTTTAAGATACTGGAAAAAAATAGAAAAACTATTTTTTCTCCTTTAAATAAGTTAATAGTCTCAAATTTCCGTGATTAAATATATTGTATATGTATTTATAAATATATCTAAGATTAACTCACAACAACCGTATTTACGGTAGTCTAATTTCGTCGAATAACTTCATATGGCTATATCATTTAGAAATAAATAAACGCAGCAAAATTTCACACAAGACGTCGTAGATAAAAAATATTTAACTAAAAATGGTATTAAGGAGTAAGTAATAACTTACTCAACATGCAAATGATCTAAGCTACCAAGAATTCTTTACCTAAATACAGCTTAGGCACGGACCAAATTGCACCACGATTCCCAGAAAGGTAACCAAATTGTAGGCCAAAAATTAAAACAAAGGAATGAATCAACCTATCAATATCAAATATTAATTTTCTAGTCCTTTACATCATTGTTCGGACTCAAATAAATCCAAAGAAAAAAAATGTTTGTAAGAATATCGCCTTTGTATGTATATTTTAATTTAGTACACCGTGATTTAGTTCGGTAAGGTACCAGCCAGTTTCTCCAAATACCAAGTAAAGGAAACAGATGGCGCTAGCGTAGCATTTTAACTTTGTCATTGGAGACACCGAAGCTTCAGTGCCTCAGTGCAGTGAGCTGCTGCAAAGCATCCGAAATATTGGGAAGAAGAAAATGTAAATAAGATAACTTATATTTTGCGTTTTAAGTCGTTAAAATGTATTATTGAAATACTCGTGACATACTCAACAAGATATAGATACCACGATATATTTTTTATATACGATTAAGGTATTTACTACAATACAAACATCCGTCTCTCCTTGCGTTCACACAAAACGATCAGTTAAAGTGTCATTAACCGATGTGTTTTTGTTTGATGGGAGACGTTGAGACAATGATGTAACTGTGCGC